TAACAATTTAAAGTGGGTCATATGTAATTGGGCCATAGAGGTGGTGTTATAAATGACCCTGTGAATTCTCCTGACTTGAGAGAAGTCCACAGTGCATGCAGAGTTGCAGCAGTTTATACCTTGCTTGGAGAAAGGGAAAATGATTTGAGCAGCCTCTTGCCAATCCAGCAGCCTTTGCGAGGTGTGGGTGTAGCAGGGTGACAGCTCCAGAGATGGGTGTAAGCCCCTGGAGACCCAAAACTATTCTGTTTTTCCTCTGCTTGCTCTGGGGGACAGTCATCGTTTTGCTCACCTGCTATGTCTTGATGTCTTTTATGGTTAGAAAAAGGAGGCTGACCCAGGGCTTCTAGAAGACCTGGGCCCATTCTAATGACCACCTGGTGGCTGTGGTCTTTGCCTTAAGGGCTAATTGCATGGCTCTGTTCCACCCCATATTATGAGTCACTGGGCATTGCACTTTCAATACAAAAACACAAACAGACTTTTTTTAAATGTCATATTTGATTCTAATCAGTTCATTTATGTGGATGACTTGCAGTATATTTAAAGCAAAATACAATCAAGGGAAACAAGTAGACTTTAAATGGAGCCTATTATATGATCTTGTGTGTATCAAACTCCAGCACTGCTTGGAAAAGCTGCAGCCTGTTGTATCTTGCATATCTTTTGCAAACAGTGAACTCTGTGTAGCTGACACCTGAGATTTGTTTCGCCTGCCAGACTCCATTTTAATGTATCCTGACCTTGATAACAACTTGCTTTTGTGAATGAATAAAAACTAGCAATTAAATTTCACTTGTTGAAAGTCAGTTTGGAAGAAGAAATGGGGCATCTTAAAATTAAATGAGATGAGTAGGTAAAATATTCAAAAGAGGATGAGATTGCCTTAGTCCTTGAAGGGCTTATTCCATTCTTATGCCCAGACCTTAAGCTGTTTCACTGAATTTGTAATTATCTTTTAGTGTTACAAAGGCATCTGCTCTCATTTGTGTAGGTCTTTTCTTTTCCTTTCTACATGGGGATATGTAGAGAATTCCCTGGCTTTGCCTCTGGGAATGCTGAGTATAAGGTTGTCTCATCTAAAACCAAAACGGGACAAAACCTGCAAATACTGATTCCCCTTGTTTCAGTAAAACTACTGATTTTTCTTGTTTTAAAATTAAAACTACCCTCTTATGGTGCCTGGGAAGAACTATTTCTGTATCTAGATGCACTTGCCATGATTCTTTTGAATTCATAGTGATTGTGATTTATGGTGCAGTCTTCAAAGATGCAATTTTACTTTAACTGAATATTGTTGCCACAGTCAGAAGAGAAAGGATTACGTACTATGTAATTATCCCTGGCAGTGGCTTACCCCCCAAAACTTCAGGTGATAGATGCAGTATCCATGTTCTTCAATAAGTTACTGGAACTGTTAACATACATCTCTGAAAAACTAAGCTTCTGCCTCTTGATATTTCCCAGTTACTGTATATAGGGCTAATTCCTCTTACTTCTTACTTGAACAGGAGTTGTTCCTTTAGTATAGAGAATAAAAGTAAATTTATCTATAGTAGAAATTGTTTAAAGGGGACAAGCCAAATAGGCTTTTCAGTTAGGCAAGGGGACTGTAAAACTGAAGGAACTGTAAAGGGTAAAAGATTTTGAGCCTTCCTATTTTCTGATCTGCTTCAAGCACCTTCCAGAATTATATTTAACCTGGTCTGTGTGGAAACCTTAACTGGTCTTACTTCTGTTTTGTTTACGTATTACAGATTTGAAACTGGTATTTCTAGATCGCTCATTAAAACATTATATAAAACCTATCAATGAGAACTCAGTGATGCCTTTTGCCATAGATGCTCTGAGCTCTGGGTGGTTGCTTACTCGGGAGTACAATCTAGTATTATCTTCCAGATAGCAGAGACAATTCTTTGGCTTTGCTATTTCATGGTGCATATGTCTGTATTGTTCAAGGCACAGAGGTGAGCTCAAAAACAATTTTAACTCTTAAGTCATTCACCTGGTCAGCTCTGTTTGTGCAGGTTATCCTTCTGTAGAAACTGGATTTTTTTTCTAATGTAGAATTTTCAGATGTAGCCTTTTCAGTGATGATATTTTTAGGCTTATTTCCTGCACCCCTCCTTGCTCACAGGTTGAGATGAGCTTGCTGCTATAACTGTCTGGTCTGTTCTGTTCCTGAAAGTGCCAAGTATGATTTTGGCCCCACTGTACTTGGCATGTAGGGAACACAAAATAAGGGACAGTGTCCTGAAGAGCTGCTGTCTAAATAGAAAAGACATGAGGGGAGATGGGCCTAGAGAGAAGTGGCTTGTGTGGATGAATGGCAGAGCTAGGAACAGAACTTGGTCTCTACAGTCTGCTCCAGTGTCCTAGCCGCTAGATCATGCTATCTCAGATAACTTTCTCTTGAAGTTGAGGCCAGCATGTCCTTCTAATCTGTATCTTGGTCCCAAGGGAGAACATCAAGAAATGGTACATGCGGATAACAGATTAGGAGTGTCTCTAGCACCTGAGACCTCAAGAAAGGAGCAAATCATCAAACCTGGTTTCTCTTTTGAGTGCTGGTCTCTGGTGCTGTCATCAGATCTAACTCCATCTCTTGTTCTATATTAAACTACAATAGGCTCCTTTCCTTCCCTCCGCCCCTTTATTTTTATTTATTTTAAGCTGTCTTTTGTCAGGGGGCAGCATATTTTTTAAAATCCAAGAGGTAGAGCTTTTAAATGCCCTTGGTAAGCAGTACAAATGGACATGTTACAATTGTTGCTTGGTACTGTAATACTGCTAAAATATTGAGTTGAAAGAGTTGAAATGATCCCTAAACATCAGGAGCATCTCTCAACATTAGAATTAAGTGTTGTCTGGGCCTACTCTTTGTAGTTGAATAGCGACCTTCTGCCTGGATTAAGCAGGCTTCCCACTTAAAGACAATGTTTCCTGGAATTGGCTGTAGTGGACTTTTGTGGCCATTTTTTTCCCTTCCTATTTCTTATTGTTAGTCAAGTGATGGTTGCAAGCCTCGTGTCCCTAGCTTCCTATCTCCGCACTAGGTTCACTACTGTTCAAGAATCCTCCAGTCCCCTAGCCAGGCCAGTTATAGTGCTGTGGTCTAATTCAGGTCTGGGGCCTCCCACTGGTTTCATAGCTGCTAGGATCGGAAGGGACCTCAAAGGATCATCGAGTCTGACCCCCTGCCACTGGCAGAAAAAAGTGCTGAGGTCATGTGACCCCAGCTAGGTGCTTGCCCGGTCTCTTCTTGAAGACCCCAAGGCAGGGGACAGCACCATTTGCTGTGGTGCTAGCACAGCTCAGACTGACTCCATGCATCTATGTACAGAACAGAAGGAAAGATGCAGACATTTTCCATGGCCCTGCCCTACACCTCCTCCAGCGGCGCATTTTCAGCCAGATTTGAGGCCAGTATTTACTTGCCAGGCACAACTGGCATATGCATTCCTTGAAGACATTTTAGGTAAAGAGAAAATGAAGACCTCACATTTGTTCTAGAAATGATTTGTCCAAATAGGCCTGTATCTAATTTTAATCAAGACTGATAAAAGATAGAGAAGTAGTTAGCTGTGTTAATCTGGAGCCAGGCAGGTTAACTTTTGCACCTTTATAGATTAAATCAGAGATGTATAGCTCAAACTTTTTTGTAAGCAGATTAAGATAACAGATCGTAAGAAAAAGTAACCTACCAAAGAATTATTGAAATATGTTTTTGACCTGCCAGGAACAAGTACATTTTTCTAGTGGACAGTCCGCTACCAGTATTTAATTCTTCACAGCGTAGGGATACTAAATAATCGGGCACCAGCATGACAGAAAAAAACACACTGTATTTCCAGTCATTGTAGTCTCTTTGAGTTTTACTTTTACTATACAATAGGAACATGAAGCTGAAGGGCATCTCCTTGTCCAAGTTAAGGTTTCTGAGAGCAGAACCTGCACTTCAAATAGTTAAGACTGTGTTAGTTGTTTTGCCCATTTCCGCCCCCCCCCCCATAAATTCCAGATAAATTGTTGAACTGGGTGTGAATCTTTTAGGTTTCAGAATGTATGAACAATTGAATGTGTAGTTTTGTGCTTATTCCCTAAAATAAGAAAGAATTGCAGAACTGGAGTCCGTGGGGAAGATGAGGGAGAAGGGGAGAAGGAGAGTTTGAAGGGCTGTAACTTTGCAGATGTTTGCCAGATAAGGGCAGGGAAGGGAAGGTTTCACAAATCCTAACCACCTTTACTATGGAACAGTAGAAAACCTGTTTTTTTCTGTAAGTATTGTATTTCTCTCAAGTAATTTGTAGCCTAGCATTAGTCTGGACAGACCAGCTTTGGTCACAAGACAAAGCCTGACGTGCTGCATATCTGTAGAGAGGATTTAAGTAGGACAGGGTGTGTGAGGTTGGACGTGTCAGTAGCTCAAGGGGAAGTGACCAGCAGTCTAATAGCAGCAGTGGCTTTCCAATCTGCCCATTTTTCAGGATTTGCTTTGGTGGCTTTTGAATGGATAGTCATTGTGGACATGAATTGTTCTGATAAAGCATTTACAGATACTACTCGGAGCACATTGCTTGAACCTGTAGTTTGGTACCTTGTATTTATACAGCTGGGCAGGAACAAAGGCTTCTTAAAAATCATTTTGAACACCTTTCCTATTCCAAAGGGGAAAAAATGTCACATGCCATCCCCAAACCATAAGACCTTTCACAAAAAACATCTTTAGGAAGCTTTTAAAGACAGCAGTTCAAACAAGTTAAGACTCCAAAGCTCATTGGAGAAAGCATTCTTAATTTAGGAAAGCATTTAAATCCTCTCAACTAAATAGGTGCTTATCTGTTTTACTGCTGTTAGCACTGACTTTATTCAAATTCAAACCAATACACAAAGCTTTTCTTACCGTTTCATGAAAGATCACGGTACATTAAATATTTTTAAAGTTTTGTAATTCAGAATCAATTCCCAGGCTGTGACTAACATTACATCTTTTTTCTAAGGCTGCAGATGCATATGTTAAATGGCGCTCTCTTGGCACTGCTGTTCCCTGTGGTCAATACACGTCTGGTGAGTAAACAGTGTTCGGCTTTCTCCTTTGATTTTTATTCTTTGTTTAAGTTTTCTTATGTTTTGTAAAATGCAGTCTCCTGGAAAGAGGCCTGACATTTGCAACAGACTTGAGGCAGTTCTGATATTGTGAGCTCCTCTCCAGGGCAAAGGTTAAGTTATAGATAGGACCTAACTCTGCATTGCAGTGCAAGATTTGACCATTGCTGCATGGACGTTGATGGTTGCAGAAACCTCCTTTTTAATTTGATTCTTCAAGTATTTCCCTCTTGCAAACTATAAATCTCTGTTGGAAATGTGCTGATTTGCATATCAAACTTGTGTGTTCTCCCTCTTGTATATAAAGCCTGTATACATATCTCTCTATTGTTAAATTATTGGAGATATTGAGAAGTGGCTGGCAGAGAATCCCATGTGGAATGAATGATAATGAGATGTTGCCAGATTGTTAGATTACCACTTAAGTGGTAAGGCGTAGGAAGGCAATTCAGTATGTAGGGACAGAGAGCTTGCTATACTTGGTCAGCTGGTAGGTCCATTGAGTAGGGTTTCCTATCTTCAGCGGCAGGCAGCCAACATACTTCACCCAGCTGCTTTGTATGTGGCAAATGGAAGTCCTTCCTGACTGTGGTAGTAACTAGATTGCTTGCTGGAGCATTGTACACTTAAGTTTAGTGTGCTTTTAATGGAGTGTGATAAACAGCTACTTTTTATTATTCTAATGGAGGCAAAAGACTTCATCTTCAATTTTTAAATTGTGCCTCAAACCACACACAATTTACGAGAACAGCATCTTTTTACATCCATTCAACCAAAGAGAGAATCCACATAGAAATATTTTTTTTAAATCTGAATTCCATTCTTCTGTGCAACAAATCTAGAAAGACCACCAGTACCTTTATTCTAAGGTGCAGTGGCTGGGTACAAAAGACTGTTTTAGGGCCAGATTCATACTGTTTTACACCTGTGCCTGTATCTATGAGGAAGCAAGTAGTTACTTACCTTGAGTTAAATCATATGGACAATAACAATTTATAGCTTTCATATGAACTATCAGGTTATGATGGTATAAAATATACCCTACAGTTTGAGATGAGATTGTAGCACAGGTTAGTTTCTATGGTAATTTTAATTTAGTTAGCATGGATTATAACAACTTTCAAAACGACTGCACAGTGAAGAAGGGGCCCAGGAAGTATGTCAAGATAATGTGGGCTAAACATGAACAGCCATATTTTCAAAATTAGGCAAATATTTTCAAAATGAAGTGCAAATGGAAGTATACGTAATCTGTGACATGCGTGATGTGAGGCCAGCAAAACCTGTTGAGCATTTACATGTGCAAAAATATATCTACAGAGTATTTTACATGCATGAATTAGGTGTGGCAGTTATGTGGATAGTTTCTTACATCAGAGTTTTCAAATTGGATGCAAATTCAGCTGCTTCTGGACAAATAAATTAATCCATTGGTGTCTGTGGTAGTAGTTTTCTGTCTCCGAACTGCTACTAATATTGATGGTAACAGGAAGAATACTATCCTAATGGCTGTATCACGTTAAACATTGCTCAAGATTAGCTTTTGGTGCAGATCAGTTATGCTGTTGTCATAAGCATATGCGTAGAATACTTGTTTAGTGAAGTTCCCTATGAAAGCAGTGCTGCCTGCATTATATAGTTACTCTATTTAATTCCTTTTCCTCATGTTGATAGAGGATGTGGTACTTGTTTAGGAAATTAGTCTCCTTCTAATTATAATAAGCATTATTTATAAGATGGTGTCAGATTTTAAATTTATCTGCTTAAGTGTTTATAGAGTCTTAATGGAATACTTGTATAAATCAGCAGCTGCATAGTGACTAACTGAATTAATTATATTGTTCATTAGCAAAATTAATATGGACTTCAGCACTCCAAAAACCACCACTCCAAGGGAAGTATCATTGCAAAGTCTTGTTACCGGTCATCTATTTTAGAGCTTGACACCTTTTTTTTTTTTTTACTAGGATTAATTTAGAATAAACAATTTTTGGAGTCCATATTTAATATTATTAATAGCTTTATGTTGTTTACATGGACTACTTTGTTAAACAGTTGATATACTTCCACATGTCATAATTACTAAAGAGTGGGGTCACTTGTATATATTACAGTGAATTCTTTTTGTAAGTTTTTTTTATTTAGATACCAAATCATTATGAAAAGAAGCATGTTTCAATGTACAGGATTCATTTACACATTAGAAATAAACATGAAAAAATGCTTACACTATTTAGTATAGAGAAATGTAAAGTTACAGATAAAATAACTTGTCTTTTTCTTTTAATGCTGCGAGGCCCTTTTTGGAATGTTAGATGAGGTTTTAACCATATTTGATATAAAACCCAAATGGTCAGCCAAGCCGGGATGTGAAGAAGGTACTCGAAGGACAACTGGAATGATACAGGATTTGAATGGTCATTGTCTAGAGACCATATGGAAGTTCTTTGGAAACTTGCTCCACTGAACTTACTTCTAAATGGCATAGATTAGAGATCAGTGTTTCTCAATTTATAGGTTGTTACAAGAGAGAGCAGGAGTGGAAGTGAATCGCATCACAAAAAAGTCAGCATTGTTGCAAGTCCTTGAATAATTTTAGTACATTTTAAAGCAAAATTTTGCTTCCTTCACTTACTTTTACTTCAACTCCTTTGAAATGCATACACAAACTAAATGGATGTATCAATTTTTTCCTTTTCTGTTATCGTTAACTGGAAGGGGTGGAGTCATTTTTAGTCTGAAAAAGAGGTCACAACCTGAAAATGTTGAGAAACACTGGATTAGATGATCAGTTTGTCAATGTCAAATATTCCAAAAAGTAAGGCATGACTGAAAGCTGGGCAGAAGAGGAACACATGCAGAATTGCTCTGCATGTGCATAGTGCATTAATTCTTACAGTGGAGCTGTTCTGCTTGAAGCTGGCACTTGGAATGCTTGCTGAGTAAGTTTCATAGGACTGCGTGTATGCTCTAGTAACTTGCTGACTTAGCTGCCCATGTCCACTGCCATCTTTGACTCCAGGATATTTCTAAAGAGCTTCTGAATCTAAGCCTTTATCTTGAAACTTAGAAAGTAATAAAATATCCTTGATAGCAGAATTGTTGTTTAAAAGACCCTTCATAATATCATAAACTAAAGCTTATTCTTCCAACATGAAATGCTAGACTTGGTTCTTTGGCGAGCTAGCACATGGCCTCAGCACTACTTAAATCTCATGCAAGCCCTCAAATAGAGGTATTACTTGAGTAAGGCAACCTGCACATTTTAAATTCCTGGATTAGTTAGCTTGCAGAGAACCCCTTTGAGATCCAGGAGTTCCAGCTATTGTGTGTGGCAAACTGGGTTCACTGTGCTGGTGCCATTTAAAAATTGGGAAAAGCTCTTGTTATTTGGATGGAGCTACTATAACTGTAACCTCTATTTGTATTATTTATGTACTGTTGAGCAAGGTTCTTCTTCACCCTGCAGTGGGCATAATGCACCTTAATTGTTTGCATTTATTTTAAATACAGAATAACCAATCCTCGATCCTATTTTTTTTCCAGATTGTAGAGCAGCAAAGTTTTTTTGTGATATTTTAAAAGTGAAGTGTTGATGTCAAAACCTGTAGGAGGGACATACTGGCAAAAATATAACTTCCCTGATGTATCAAAATAGGGTGTGTTGTTTTTCCAAACAATTGTGACTTAAGCATGTAATATGTCTTCAAAAAGCTGATCGAGTAGAATGTAATGTATGGGTATTTGCTTGAGCTATTGCTTATACTCTGCTTCTACTATTCACCTCTATCCCCTTTTCTATTCTCTCTCCCTCTGCCCCCTTGGAGGGGCAACAAGAATCTGTTTTCTGGGAATAGTGAATACTCTTCCTATACTAGGGTTTGGTTCAGGGGGCTTCTGTGGAGATGGGGAGAGAATAAAATCCTTTAGAATAAAATCATTCCTGCTCCTTGGTTTCTGGAGCAGCAATAGAATCACTCCAGCAGCTGTTATTGGTGTTGGTGTTCATCAGTATTCTCATTGCTACAATTTTATATGTATGTGAATCAATAATCTTACCCTCTATAACTGCATTCATGCTCAGATGCTTCTTTTTGTCGTCTTCTCCTTTCCATCCTGTGATGTCTCAGTGTGTGTTAAGCAACATGCCGAAGTGTGAGATTTTACTGTTTTTATACACTCCTGCTTATGATTCTAAGTTTTAAATAGGTGCTATGGTGATAAATTATACAATAGCTGCTAACCACAGTACCTTGGATTATGAAAGCTTAATTAGATCTATGATTTTGAGGGTCTTCATTGCTGCTTACAAACTCTATCTACTTGCATGTGTTGTACCTGTAGATGCCAATGGATGTAGCTTGTTGAGATGTAGGACTTCCTTTTGTAATTGGGTAATTCCATGCATTGACTTTCACAGTGGAACTGTTGTGTTTGCAGCTGGCACTGTAATATTTGTGAAGAAAAAATATATCTACTGCTTAGAGATGCACTGATACATGGATCCATTTCGTATCAGCACTGATAAAAGAAAAATTGATATTATTGGCAATTGGCTTTTTGTCTGATGTGGCTGATAGTATCATTGATAAATACCCTGTGCATGTGCACAGCTACAGCATGCATGCAGCCATTTTGGCAACTTGGAGAGCAGTGTCTGTCTGGTAAATCTTGGCAGAGAAGGAGACAGAGAAGGGAAGGGGTGTGGGAGGGGAGGGGAGGGGACAGATTAAGGCTTCTGTGGTGAGGGAGAGAGTGGGGCTGGGGGTGGGGCAGGGCCAGACACTGCCCAGCTGGGGCAGGACATGGGACAGAGCCCCAAATGGCTTGTCCCGGGGGGGGAGTTCCCACTGCTGCGTACACCCCTGGGGGAGGTATGGGGGGGCATGTGCCCCCCAGAACTGTGTGCAGGGCGAAAGCAGGCAGATGCTATGGGCTGGGGCCAGGCTCTTCCCGGGGGG